GGATCATTCAGACAGTTGGCAGGAGTTGTGACCAGAACCTGGGTCCCCTTGATCTTGATTCGTAAAGGTGACTGACACATGACACAGAAGTCTGTGCCGTTGACATAAAGTTTACTATTACTCAAAGGTCCCCTAGGGTTAAGAGGCACAGAACTCCAGGCAGGGCAGAAGCAGGAGCGAGGGGAAAGCACAGGCCAGAGCCTTTCCTGGGGTTTCCATGGGAAACACAGAGGGAGAGGGAGAACAGTTTGGGATTGGCTGGTTTGAATAATTCCTGCAGGCCTTGGGGCATAGAGGCTGTCCCAGCTGTCTGGTACCTGGCCGTGGGTTGATTTAAGGCAAGGTGAAGAATGGCTTGGTGTGTGAGAGTTACAGAAAGCTGGTGGGTGGGACATGGACTTGGGTTTGTATACGAAAGGTGGCCTTGCTGACAAGTTGCTTACTGTCTCGAGGCATTAGCTAGCTGGGGGAGGGGCAGGCTTTCCCAGCTGGCAACCGCCACTCCCAAGGTGTCAAACTATAATCAAATACAGAAAACAAAACACACGATTGCAACATACCCCTAAATCTCGTGGACCTCTCAATTTCTACCTCTTAGCACACTGAAGCCCAAAATGTATTATTGAAAGAATCAAGCATCCTGCAGTTCTAGTGGCATTTCAGACTTGAAGACACAATTCAATCATCTTTTATTGTCTTAGTTTTTTCACTGGTGTATCGTGTGTCACTCGTCCATCCCCAGACAGCACAACCAAAGGGGTTAGTAAACAAGTCCTGACTTCTCTGCCAAATGCTATCTCAGGATTTGCAGTCATTCTTCCTCTCGCTAATCCTCACTTTCCTCTTCAGTTTGAAAATTATGGGCTTGCATCTGATGATCTCTAAGATCACTTCCAACACTGACATTCTTACAACTCTACAGCTATAATCAGCCAGAGGCCTGGAATCTCCTTCAGCACAGTCGAGGTTCACAGGAGGCAATTTTGTTAATGACCTTAAGGCAAAACAGTGATGTTCTGAATTTAGATGGGTGGATAGGTAGAGAGGAAAGAGGGTAAATAAATAGGTGGGAGGATGTTTTCCAAGAAATCTCAGTGTTTCAGTTTGTAATCAGGGCTCAGAAAATAAGTCCAAGGAAGATAACTCTTTGGGACTGGAAGCTTTGGATGGCCCATCTGCTTTCTCCCCCACCTCATCCTACTCCCTGCGCCCAGATAAAACAAAAAGGTCATCTTCTCCTACAGGCACACACACACACACCATTGCATTCTTTTCTGGAAGATGTGGGATGCATAAAATAGCAAATGCCGTCAGATCTCAAATTGGGCAAATACAGAGACAGCATTTTTAGTCTCACTGAAAAGTAGTTGTCAGAAATATGCCATTCACTCTGAGTCTCTAAGTGCTCTGTCAAGCTTTAACTTGATTAAAATTGAAAACCACATTGCTTGAAAACCAAACGTGAAATCGAAATCTCTTTACTCAGTGCTCTTACGTTCTAAAGCCTGGGCTTATGGATTATTCTCTGTTAATTTATGCCATCTTTGTGCCATACATTAATTTTGAATATATTTGTTGAAAATTTCCTGTAGCTTGCATTTATGGTTGTCAAAGGGGCTTTTATCTTGAAAAAAATGGTGCTGGTTTTAATTACAATTCTAAATAGCTTCATAACCATCGTGAACCCTGGATTTACATCATCTTTATGACAGCCACGCAATTCCCACTTTATTGATTTTGTCATTTGCTTCATTACAGTTAATGCAAACCTTTTGTAGGGAGACAATTCTGGTGCCGCTCTCTTCTTGGAGGGGTCAGTATAGAACATCGTGACCGAGATAGACCCCGTCCTTCCACCCCCTGCTTCCGCCGCAGTGCTGACCCAAGGAAAAGTCAGGATGGGAAATCTTTCCAAAGTGGCTATCCATCATGGGCAAAGGAAATGTTAGCTCTGATTATCCAACCCTTTCCGATCAGCTGGGTTCCGACTCTCCTGCTTTGAAGTCCTGCAGACGGCATCACTCATGTGGCGGGACTGTTGGGTTCACCCCACCCCAGACCTCCTTTGCTCTCTGTTTAGAGGCAATGCACAGCAGTGGCCATCCCGTCCCCATTTCACATGCGAATCCTGGGCCCCCTGCACCCCCCAACCAGCCAGAGAGTGCGGGGGCGGGGGGTGGAGGTGTGCTGTGTGCTATGCTGAGATCAGTCCCAGGCTAGGAATGCCCACGCAAGCATGTGAGTGGCCCAAGGTGGAAAATCAAAACCTTGAGTGATGAACTTGAAAAGGAGCTTTTTAAGAAAAAATAAAAAAGGATTACGGAGCTTGAGAAGTGCAGGAAGACACAGCTCACCCAGGCGTGTCCATCAGACGCAGGGTCCCGAGGCCAAGAGCAGCCGAGGGAGCTAAGAAGGTCGCTGGGCACGGGAGGCTGCTTATGGACGCAGGACACTACATGAGTGGAGCCTGGATGGTTGAGAAAGTAGCACTTTTGATCTGGAAATGGGGATGTTTTTTTCCCATGTCCCACTTGGAAGGATCTTGCTTTTCCCAAAGCAAGGCTTGTGAGGGGACTAGCCTTTAACCAGGACACAGAAGTCGGATGGCCTTGCCAGAAGGGGCATGCAAGCCCAGAGAACCTTTCTGGAGGAGGCGAAGTGGGGCATGGTCCCATTTCTAATGGACTTTAGTGGCGAATCTGGAGGACAGTTCTAGAAGGGCCGCTCTCTGCTCTTGCATCTCCGGAACTTCTCATGACTCACCCAGCTGGGGTGTCACTGGGGATGGCTTTCTCCCCTGCTGCCCTCCAAGGCCGTGTTCCCCACTTCTAGACTCTCATTTTTCCAGGACCCCGTTGGATGTGAGGGTCTAGCCTTAGCCTTCTAAATGCTATAAAACAGGGGTCCTCAAACTTTTTAAACAGGGGTCCAGTTCACTGTCCCTCAGACCATTGGAGAGTACACACTGTGGGCCTGGGACAAGACAGCCGCTAAGCAGGACAGGCAGTGGGGGCAAAAACACCCGGAGGGCCAGATAAATGTGCTAGGCGGCCCACATGTGGCCCGAGGGCCATAGTTTGAGGACACCTGCTATAAAATTATTGAGTGCTGGGAAAATCATCGGATGCTCTTTAAAAGTTGTCTCTGACTTATGGGAGAGAGAATTATTCTGTTTCTAAGACATGGGAGAGCTCAGCAGAAAGAGGAGACATTTCACGCAGATGGGGTAGAAAGAGGCATAGTAGCCTGACCCCTTATATCTAAGCTATAAACATCCAGAATCTTGAGAGCTGCTCTTGTCCTACCTAAGAATTCCTATAGGAATCTCTGCCTCATAGGTGCCAGTGAGGGCTCCTGAGCTCTTTGGATTTTCGTGGAACATTTTGGCAGGCGTGAATACCATGTTCATTCATACTTGTATGTTTTCCCAACCTACCATTCAGACCTCCAGCCCATTGGACAGTCTCGTCTTAACTGCTCCAAACAGGAGGAAAGTTGCATTTACATTCTCAACGTACTGCGTTAAAAATAAATTCTGACTCCTCAGGCAGTACCTGTAACAACAAAATGAGAAAATCCTTATGTGGGGACTCAGGGCCTGGATTAAACCCAGCAGCCCTGAACGCCAGCTCGTTAGGGGCCCACAGAAATCAGCTATTTCCTGCCTTCGTTTTACTGAGAAGTCAGACCACAACCCAACAAGGTTGAAGATCCTTGTCATCTGATTCTTGAGCGAGCTGTTTTTCTTTTCCCATTAAAGCACACCATCTTAGATAAAAACTCAACTGCTGTCAAAAGAGAAAAAGAAAATCACTCTTTTTCTTTCTTCTTCCAGAGCAGTGCCTGTCTCTTATCCTCAGTTCTAAAGTGTGAGCAATGTCCGTGTTTGCCTTTTCTGGAAGCAGAGGAGGAATTAGAAACCTCCTTCAGGCTTGATGTGGCCAATTCAACAGAAGCGGCGTGATGCAGAGCTCTGGCCATGGCAGCTGGTCGGTGGAACTGGCCCTGGCCTTTTAGAAATGACCCTCACCCCAGGGGGGACCCGGATGGGAACTATCTCAGTGGGGCTCCTCTGGCATCCAGCCCTCTCTCTTCCCTTTGCTTTTCCGGCCTCTTCCTTCCAGTCTCACATTTTGGGATTTACTTAGCTCAGTGAGGCCAACGGAGAGTCTGGGGAGAATTTGGAGCCAGCATTAGGGAAGGTGACTCGCCACTGTCACCCGGCCTCCACACCAGCCCTTCCCTGGGGCCCTTCCTGGAGGCCAGGAAGGGAAGGATTTCTGGCCAGAGTCACTTCTCTCAGTGCCGGAAGGGAAAGGAAAAGCCAGGCCTCCTGGTCCAGCCTTCTCAGGGAGAGAGAAGGCAAAGAACCAGGCGACAATGCACAGGCGACAATGGGGAACTCGGCTTCTCAAACACACACACAATCCACCCAGTCATCTCTGCCGGCTGCCGAGGGGGAGGGGTGGGAAATACGCAGCAGTGGCTAGTCCCGGAACATTCTGTGTGTGACTTGGGGTCTCCAGGTGGGTTTTCCCCTCCCGTCGAGTTTGCCATCCCCATTCTTTTTGCCTACACTGACATTATTTTTTCCCAAGTGTAGAGTGGCTGGGAGTGTCCCCAAAGCAAGCTAGGAGAAAGAGTTTTAACATGCGCCATGAGGGTTATCCCCACAAGTAGGTGGATTAAATTCCCCCATGTTTCTCTCCTTCATTCTCATTGCTCTTCAAATGCCAGGTTATTGCTTTCCAAGCCAGAGAGAACTGAGTTTGCTGTCTCGCCGTGCCCTGTATAAGCTCTGACCCTCGCTAGGCTTCCCTACCTGCCACTGTGGTGTCGTCACAGAGAAGTTACCCTCGAAATGTGGTGTTTTTATAAAGCTCCTCCCTGATGCAGGAAGCGTGAGCTCCTCTTCTCCCCTGCCCCCTGCCCCTGGGGTAGAATTCACATAGTATAGAATTAACCATTTTAAAGTGTACAATTCATCGGCATTGGGTATACTCACAATGTTGTGCAATCATCACTTTTATCTAGATGCAAAACATTTTCATCACCCCAAAGGAGCCCCATACCCGTTAAATAGTCATTCCCTGCTCCTCCCTTCCCCCAGCCTCTGGCATTTGCTAATCTGCTTTCTGTTTCTATGGATTTACCTGTTCTGGACATATTATATTAATGCAGTCACATACTACGTAACCATTTATGTCTAGCTACTTGGTGCAATGTTTAAAGGTTCTTCCTCATTGCAGCATGTTTCAATACTTTATCCTTTTTAATGGCTGAATAATATTCTTTTCATATATACCACAGTTTGTTTATCTACTCCTCCATTGATGGGCATTCAAGTTGTTTCTGCCTTTTGGCTATTGTGAATGATGCTGCTATGAACATTTGTGTACAAGCCTTTGTTTGAACACCTGTTTTTAATTCTTGCTGTATCCCCAGGGATGGAATTTCTGGGTCCTGTGGTAATTCTATGTTTAACTTTTTGAGGAACCACCAAACTGTTTTCCATAGCAGCTGCACCATTTTATATTCCCTCCAGTAATGTAGGAGTGTTCCCATTTCTCCGGATCCTCATCAAGCATTTATTGTTCTCCATCTTTTTAATTGTAGCCATCCTGGTGGTATACAGTGGTATCTAATGCAATTCCTGGGATTTTGTACCAAGCACCTCCCATGTGCCAGGCACTGCGGGGCAGGTACTGTAGGGTACTAAACAGATATTGCATCTGCTTGTCCTGTTGTTGGTGAGGCCATGCATTCATTATTCCTTAATAGTAAAGAAAAAGAAGGCCTTTTCCTAGAGTATTTCAATTCTGCTCGTTAGCTCAATCGAATGTAGTTATCAGCATAGCCCGTGTTGCTGGGTTTTGATGCCCTTTTTTCAGCAGTTAATTACAAGGGCCTTTATACTCCCTTACACTGAGCTTGCAAGACATGTTTAATTGGCTTCTGCTGCCACAAAAATACCTTTGAGTGATGCTTCAATAATGGCCACTCGCCCTGAACATCTACTGCACAGCCTGGTTAGCGCTGCCCGTTGGTTTCCGTACCCGGGGCTTGTGCACCTTTGGAAGGCAAGCCTGTATCACCACTGGGAGAGACCACGCCCAGGAAAAATGGGTTGAGCTCTATGTAATTTACAAGTTGCCTAGAGCAAAAGAACCATTTCTCTGGATATGCCATGCCTCTGCCCAAGAAAACACTAACCTGTCCCAGCCTGTTCAGAAGGCCATCCATTGGCTCCCAATAGGTGACCTGGAATTGAAGCATCTCCTTAGGGTGTAGGCACCTGTCCATGGTCCTCAGAGACTGAAGCGAAAACCAGTCTTCTTCCCCCAGTGATCCTAAAAGCCAAATGGACTGGGACTCTCGGGGAATGTCTTTGAGAGACACATGGGAGGCAGTTGGGGGACAGTGTTGAGTGAGCTGCCCCCACCACTCTGCTAACCTTCTGGGTAAGAATGCCTACAGGCCAAGGAAAGCAACCAGGTCGGAGTGACAGATACCGAGACCAAACCCTGACTTTTGTCACCAGCCTCTTCCCAGCCCATAATAACTTGAGTCACACCCACACAGCCATGTTATAGGTTCCTTATCTTTATACTTTGAAAGTCAGAAAGAGGTAGAATAGCATGATGGGTGAGCCCTGAGGCTCCCAGACCAGGAAGGCAGGTTTGAACTTGACTCTCCAGTGTACCAGCTGAGCTCCCTTCGTGATGCTGCATAACCTCTCTGAACCTTGATTTCCTCCTGTGTTCACAACTAGTCCAATTGCAGTGAAATAAGTGTTTGAAGGAAGGGATGGCCGAAGGGTCATGAGAGCTTGGAGAGGGCAGCTGCAAATTTTGTGGGAGTTTGTACAGGAAGGTCTCATAGAGGAGGTGGCCCTTGAGGAGGGTCTTGATTCCCCAAACAGAGGAGGGGCCAGGACCGGTGTAAGTGAGACATAGGAAAGTGAAAGTACTTGGTATGCTCACGTGTTGCATAGAGGGTGGAACGATGCCTTGCTAAGGAGTCTGAGCTGTTTCCAGAAGAGCAGCCAGTTCTCATAGTCCTTATGAGCATGGGCAGACCTGGGTTCAAAGCCGAGTTTAGAGATGTAGCTCTCAGTGTCTCACTTTCTTCTTCTGTAAAGTAGGAACTGTTCTGAGACCAAAGTGACATAAGACATTTAAGATGCTCAGCTCAATACTTGATGCCTAATAAATGATATGTGCAATTATTATCGTGGTTGTGACGGTGGTATTGTCACAGTTTATAATGTAGGCCGCCAGGAACATTATGGAATATTCAGATTAAGAAGTTATACCTCATAGATGGTGTGGCATTTGATTATTTTAGGTGCTTAATACATTGTTTGATGGATTATTAATTGAAAACAGCCACTAAGAAATGGGGTTAAGTTTTGCAATTTCTGTCCTTGGTGGTTCTCACCTATGGGAATTGTGAAAAATGTTCCCATATTGCATCATTCTCCCGGTAAGGGAAAAATTTGTATCTTCTTTGTTGTAGGTTTTTGGTGGCTTCTCGTATTTCAATCTCTTAGCAGCTGGAAAAGTATGAAAAACATATATGAGTCTGAACTGCTGCCCTTAGTCTAGAAAGAATATATTGAATATCTCAAATAATAGATTCTTTGGTCTAGGACGAAAGAAGAAAGAATAGGCTGAAATCACAGAAGGGTCTGAGTGTGATGAACAGGAACTTTTCCTTAAGACTCGGAAGAAATCAATCTCAGGTCACATAACTTTAGAGCTAAAAGAGACCTCAGAGACTGTGTAAAAACGAATTGCTATATTTAATATTATTTGTTTTAAGGCAAATAAAATTAAGCAATGCCAACAATCCATTTTCAGAGTGCACACATTTCATTACTTTAATATTCAAAAATTCCTTTTGGGCTAAATGTTATTATCTCCATTTTACAACTGAGACTGATGAAACTGACACTCAGGGACAAGGATATGAATGACTTAGTTCACACGGCTAGCAATTACACAAGTCCTGGTCTTCCACTGTACAAAAAATGGACAGTCAATATTGAGAGCCTCCGTAGGGTTGGTTAGTACCAGCTGGAAATACGAATAAAATCAAGGAAGTCTTAGTTAAATTTCTACATGAGATATCGTGTGATTCTTTTAAAGGGAAACAAAGATCTCTGGAGGTCTAAGGAGGTGACGCAGCCTCAATGCACTGTCACAGAGAGAGCCCCAGGATGAGTTGACTGATGGCTTTAACCCAGAGTAGGGATGCTTAAAATCCTGTATTTGAATGGCATCTCACCTGGGCGCCCACCTCGTACCTAGAAAGAAATATCTCAGGTCTGGCTTCTGCATGCTGGTCATATTCACACTGCTGGGATAGTTTTTAATCCTTAGAGTCCAGTGGAAATATTTCTGAAACCCCCAGGGGGATGGGGGAAAAAAAAAAAAAAAACACTTCTCAGTACCTCACTACAGTTTGTGCTTGGTGATTTAGAAAAAGTAGTGAAAAACAGAGATGTGGAAGATAAGTTTCCATGCCCGTTAGCAAAAGCACATTTCATCTTCCTGGTTTCTCCCTCCTTCCTCCCTCCTGCGCCTTTGCCTGGGATGGTTATCGCTCAAGAGTGTAACTAGGGAAACCACAAACCTGCCCCAATCACTATGGAGACAGCCATTTATTTGTCCAGCCTCTGAGTATTCATGACATCAGCAAGGCTGGCGAGTAAAACACAGATACTTCTTACAAAGAAATTCTGATGGCCGAGGAGGAAGGTTGGGAATGCACGGTAGGACCTTTCAGTGACTTTCGGGGCTCCCGCCAGCCTCACTGCAGGTGTGTTTGCAAAGCCCATTTTGCAGAAGATGCAACGAGGAGCCCTTTAGAGCCGACATAACTGAAAGCCGAGTATGTGAATCCACAGACATTTTAAGGTTTAGGGACATGGTTGAAGGGAATCACGTTCTGAAATAAATCTATTCCCACTGAGTCGGCCCCAAGGGTATATAACAGGGGAGCAGCGATGGCAGTTTTCCTGGGATCGCTACACAGGACTTTCAGTGCTAAAATAGGGGAGTCCCAGGCACAGCTTGGGGAGTTGATCCATCCAGTTTAAACCCCTTTGTCCTGACACGAGGTTGACCACAGGAAACAGGTTGTTTGAGGCAAACCTCGAAATGTGAGTGCACATTTTACAAACAGAAACCAAGCTTCCTTGGTCCCATTGGTCTAAAAGTTGCTGGAAAACAAATGAAGCTCTCTCACCATGAATGAGGGGTGTTTTGTTTTAGTTTGATTTGTTTTTTTTTTTTGTCTGTTTGTTTATTTTGTTGTTATTGTTTTATTTATCTAGAAATGCCAGAAATGTGTTTCCAGTTTAAACTTGCCCAAATTAAATAGGCATTTCACTGGTTCCCCATAACTGTGCTTAATGCTAAATTGGTTTGCAGAGATTTTCCCCCTTGCATTTTTCAACACAAATTCATTTGCCAAATGCCCAACATACAGGAAACCATGTAAACACAGAAGTGGAGTTATTGATATTTCCCAGTGATGTGTAAAACACCTCTTTATCCTCCAAGGTCCAGTGTGCCTCCTTGTTGCTAATCCATCAATGGTGTTTGCATTATTGCCGAGCTTGCTTTCAGGAACATCCACTGGGGTGGATGCAGTTCTTTTCCTGCTGAGAAGTTGCATATGTTGAAAAGCAATATTATATATACTAAAAAAAGGGGTTATGCAATCCATGAGGCAAAGTATGCATATCAACGCTTGTTAAACTAGACTCGTGTTCAATTTAAACTAAGTTACAAACAAACTATTCTGATCAGAAAGCCACTTGTCCTTTACATAGTAGGTTTGGTTGGTTGGAGTCTTCGAATGCTGACAGTCAATTATCTAAATATCTCTAAAAATAACTGGATACACCACGTTAAATGTCAGAGGTCAACAATTGCTTTACCTATTGTATAATATGTATTTGTATTTAAATGTATACGATATTACATGCAACTACATATACAGGAAAAATAGGCATAAAGTTGTCAGTTCTCTAGATAGGGATCTTTGTGGATACTTAAATAATTCATGGATCAGTAAACATATCTATATGCATGTATTCGCCGGTCTGGTGGACAAGTGCACAAAATGTGCAAAATAATAGATTCACCTCCTTTTGCTCATTTGAGATGTGGTTTTAATGTGGAATTACAGTAGCTCCCTAATGATGAGAAGTAGTGACAATTCATTAGCAGATTGTGGCTTAGATCAAGTGTTTGATTTGCCTAAAAAGTGTGACCAGTACTCAATTATATGAAGTATATGCATTTCTTTTGAACATAATTTTTTTTTCCTTTTGCCTGTTAAAATAACCTTGAGCTTTGTTTTGTTTTTTTTTTCAAAGAACCCAGCCAGCAGCAATCGCTTCTATAATTTGTACTTCAATAGTGATTTTTAGAACGTTAAATTGTCATAAAAAACCAACCTTCAGAAGTGCTACTAGATTTTTTATTTTCTGCTTAAGGACAATTGGATAATGGGAAGAAAAGAAATAGTATGTCAAGGCTATTTCATGTTTTGTCTTCTGCCTTGTTTCATGAAAGCAGGGATTTCCCAGTTCATTTGTCTTTTTTTGTTTCTTTCTAATAGTTGCAACAATATTACTCAGTCTAGAAAAAGAAATATACCTCAAACATGTACTTGTATGAATATATATATTTCATCAAAACCAAATTCAAATTAGTTTAGTCTTTAGAATTCTCTTAAATTTTTTAAGATAATTGAGATGTAAAAACCACAGGTGGTAACCTTCTTCCAAATATTTTCAAAGGATGTCTTACACTTCATTACATATCCTGGGTATCTAATACAGTGTGAACATGTACTAGGACTCCGTTGCTCTTATGGGTTAATTAATTGTTGGATTCCACAACCGTGGACTTGCTTTGGGTTTCCAGTAAGCCTTCCCTTGTGAATTTCATGCAGAAGTCCCCCAATTATTTTGCACATTTTATGTAGGTAGTTTTATTCAGAAATTAACAAAACTGTTTAACTCCAGAGAGTGCTGAGTCGTAGCTGGTTCTCCCATTTAGTATGAGGAAGACTGCAGCAGATCTAGCCGCAGTCCTTCAGCAGAACTCTGCTGCTGAATTTCGGGCCCCCAGAGCGACAGTGCCCTCGGGCTAAATTTAACCAACCATCCGAGGAGACGAGACACAGGCCCCCAGAACATCTGGATGAGGAGTGAACAACTGGATAGATGTACCCTGGTATGCAGACCTTGCATGTAGATAATTAGTTGGGAATTCTGTTCTTCCAGATTCCTAAAGCCTGTTTCTGGAAATTTCTCTTTTCAAGGTATTCTTCGCGGGGATTCAAATGCATCACTGAAATCCTGCAATTTTCTTGTTTTTGTCTCTTTTCTTTCTTTCCTTCTTAATTTTTTTTTCTTGATTATTGTTGTTGGGAGATAGATTGGTAGATAGCTCTTAAAATTGTAGTCCGTTCTTTTTTAATCCTTTCTTGAGGATTTGGATATGCTTCTTAATTGTTAAAGCACAAAAATATTTCTAATCCTACTTCCTTTATGAAATTTCAAATTGTAATTGAAAGAGATGAACTGTGATAATAGGAGTAGATCACGCTTATGAATGGGAGTTCTTACAAAAGTGCTGTCTCCCTGTCTGCCGTTTGTGGAGATTATTTTAAGTCTTTGCTCATGCTGGCTTTCCTTTCTGCCTTGTTTATGTTCTCAGAGTATAAAAATACAGTAGTCAGAAAGCTCCTCTCGGGGAGTCTGCATTTAGTGCTTGTCTGAGGATTCCTTTCTAAATGGACTCTGGTATCATTTTAGCACTCATATTGTTTGCCGAAATCTGAGCTTGCCGGGGAAATTAGAGCAGTTAATTTAATATCATGAAATGTTTTGGGGCTTCTTAGCTTATTCAGAGAGAGGGGAGTGTAAATCAAATTGAGTATTCTGTATAAAGTAGAGGACAATAAAAAAAAAAAATGCCTCCAAAAAATTGCCAGTCTTCCCTCCATCCACTGTCTTCCTGATGCTCGTCTTCACCCTGGGCCCAGAGAAATCTCGTTTTATTCTAAGTCTCCTTCCCAGGGTCTCCCGAGGAGAGATCTGTGCCTCAGAAAGACGAGGAAGCCCGGAAGGCACTTAGCTCTTTGCGGGGATAGCAGGTGTGCTCGGGGCTTCTTCCTTGCTGGTGATGCCACTCGGCCAGGACAGTGTGGCTTGTGGCTTAGAACTTTATCCCAGGCAGTTTGGGCCCAGCCCTCACATGCTCGCCATAGAAGGACTTATTCTGCAGCCGTCAGTGACCATGTGTGAAATGCCTGGCGCTGTGCTACACGCGGGGGTGAGTTACTTTGTGTGGAAGGGAGCAAGGATTCAGCTGCAGTGGGAAATACACTTCTTATTGCCCAGGAAAAACAGAAAGAGAGCTACCGGGCATCCTCAGACCGCTGCATCGTCTCTGCTCACATTTCCAAAGTTCTTTTTGCACATGCCTCCTCAGTGACGGGGTGCAGGGTGCGGGCTGGGCAGTGGGCTTTGTTGATTTGTTTTTGAGAGGGTCTTTGAACAAGGCCTTTCAAAGGCACGATAAAGACCTCTGACCTGAGAGTTTAGAATACGTGTCAGCAGCCGCTGGTCACATCAAGCCCCAGAAGCAAACTGCTAAGTCAAATAAATGCTTTGGCCTCAGCCCCGGAAGGTTCTGTGTGTGTTTAGTAGCACTCCACCCCACCCCACCCCCAAAGAAATGCTGGGCTGATGTTTATTTCGCCCCCCACCCCCCCACTCTCCTCTGCTTGAGGACTAACTTTTCCATCTCCAAGTTATTTTCGCAAAGAAAAACTCGTGTGAACCAAGTGCATACTTAGTTTGTTATGGGGACTTAGTGTATTTGTGTGAAATATCAGGAATGACGGTGGACAATTAATCGGGCTTTTCACAAATGCTCTGATGCTCGGTGCCATGGAGATGTAATAGCTGGAATGGAGTGACCGTTTGCCACATGGGCCCTGCAGCCCTGCAGACTCGGAATGAACGGGGTCTTGCCAATGGCCCTTTGACGACCAGGGTTAGGAGACAGTTCCTGTTTTGTTTATCTGTGATTATAACCAAAGGAGACAATCTCGATTATCACAAACGTCTTCTCGAAAAGCACATTGATGCATAAATATCTTAAATTTTAATACGTTTCATGTTTTAATATAGTCTATAAAATATACCCACCATGACGCTTATGGTAAAGCTCAGTTTTCCCCATTACAGGGAAACAACTAGATGTCAACTTCTGCCAACTGCTAAAAATATTTAAACATCGTTTAATGGATAATATAGTCGATGTCTCTGCATTTAGCGCGACAGTGACCAGCACCCTCTCTGAGTCTCTGTCCCCACCACTCCAGTTTGCTGAGTTACAAGACTCTGTGTGGTGGGGTTTTTTTTTTAAATCTTTTGCCTATCTTCCCCAGCCCACTTTTTTATTCTTCCTACCACTTCAGTTTTTCTCTTCTTTCTATGCCTTTCTCTTCTGCCCTGCAGATTCCATTCTTTCCATGTAAAATGCTGTACACTTAGAGCCTCCTGTTTGGTTTCTGGTCTCTCAAAAGGAATGGAAAATGCTTCACAAATTCAGCAAATAAATAATATACTAATAGCAAAGTCCCCTCTGAAACGTCTGCACAAAAGCCAACGCACCACAAACCGCCACCTCCACGCACCCTGGACTTCCCGATTTGATGATTTAGATTCTTTGCTACTTAGGCGGATGGTGTCGTTTTTGCCGAATTCAGCATGTTCATCGAACAATTTCTTGGAGCCAAAAGCCAGTCCACTGCGTTTCTGCTTGGTAAGGTTTGGTGGCCTTGGCGTGGGCAGGGGTTGTTGATTCATCGGCCTTTAAACTGATGATAAATCCCGAAGCTGGGCCGCAGGACTAGACCGCCTCCCAGAACCGCTGCGGGAATCCATGACCCCCCCGGCCGCGAGAAACCCAAGGAAAAAGACGCTCAGCAAACTCTTGCTGAGAAATTCTATCTGGAAGAATTTGGGATACACGGTGAGACTCCATGTAACAGTCTCATCGGGGAGAACTTTGAAACACTGGATACAGGACTCACCAACCTAAAGTGTGCTTCTGCTTCTCAAAATGCCTGTTTACTGTTTATTTTTTAATTCTAAATACCTAAATCTTATAATGTGAACATCTCTTGAGATGATGCGATTTCCCATAATCTCGTGGCAGAGCCTGTTTATTGTAACGCACAACATCACTCTAATTGTGTTTCCTGTGTGTGCATTTGTACAATCCTACATCTATATACTTTCCCAAGGATAACAGTATTTTCATTTTAATTCTGCCTGTCTTTGGCAGAAAATAAAGCGGTCAGAAAGGGTTACCAAAGGTAGCCTTGACTCAGCTTTTATGGAGAGTCATCTTGGGATAGTTTAGTGCAAATTACAAACGAAGATTCCAGCAACAGGAAATCAATCCCTCCAAAAAAATGAGAGGGGCTCAATATTTTTTTTTCTGAGACAAAAAAAAAAAAAATTTAAAAAGAGTCTATAAAGGAGTTTTTCAGTATGGCCATACATTTCAGCCCGCACTCCTGAGGACCACAGTGTGCTCTGCAAACAAAGTACAATAAATGAGCTGGTGTTAATAACCGTTTTCAGTGTAACATCTTTTTTGGGGGTTTTTTTTTTGGGTGGGGGGGATCAAACGGATTTTATATCATATCTGATATTGAAGTTAGGGTGTGGCCATGGTAAATATCCTAACTACACATCATATATGTATTAATATTTTGATTTAGAGAAAACAGGATCTATTTGTTATCCCTCAACTAAATTACCACAGTCCCCAGCTAGAACGTATATTAGTCAAGGCACCCTTTTAAAAGACGTTATTTGCATGCTCATGGGATGGAAAGGGGAATAGAAAAGGAATCCTGAAATAGGTGCATTTAATTCTCCCCAATTTAAATGTAAGTGGTACATCTTTAAGGCAGTGACGATATTTCTTTTATTCGCCCCATCGTGAACACTTCCATCAATGAATTTCCTTAATGGTGATGGTGGTTGGTGCAGTTTGAGGGAATCTGTATTTAGTCAGAAAATGCTTCAATAGAATGACCCACCAGATGCGCCCCATAACAATGCACGGAGGCATCAAACCACCACAGACATTTGGTGCTTAGAATAATAAAAAGACTATAAAATTAGATTAGTTGAGTCTAATTTGGAATTGGTATATTCCCCATGCACCCTCGCCGCTCTTGGGCAGATCAAGCCTTGAGATTTAGCGTGGTGTCGGCTTGGGAGCCTGCAACTTCCAGTAAAAGGCAGGCGAGGGGCCGGGAGAGAGAAAACAGCATTCTGGGAGGTCGCGGAGGGCAGAGCAGTGACCTCCAATGATTTACAGGCCTTTAGCTTAATGAAATTGTTTCAGTGACATGACGGTAAGAGCTCGTAATGGATTGGATGCCCTAATGTAATGAAATTACTCCCTTCTGCCTAAAAAAAAAAAAAAAAAAAATGCGCAATTAATATTTACTGAGACCTGACAGCCTTTGGTGCGCTCGTCTGTGTAGTTCTCTCAGACAGTCAGAGAGGAGAGACGGAGCGGCGTGGCAGACAGGCTGGCTCTGCGCGAGCTCCCGGCGGGGACGAGCAGAGCCTGCGAGGGGGTGGAGGGACAGGCGCTCGCTCGGGTGGCCCGGGCCGCCCGGCCCCGCGGCGCTGCCCCGCTCAGCCCTCATGCTCTCCCTTGCTTTCCCACAGGCAACTGGACAACAACCACATCAGCTGCATTGAAGATGGAGCCTTCCGAGCCCTGCGCGATCTGGAGATCCTGTGAGTGGATTTTGCGATCGCCGCCTTGTGTGTGTGTGTGTGCGTGCGTGTGTGTGTGTGTGTCCGTGTGCGGAGGAGAGAGGGGGAGTGTGTGTGCAGAGGGGGCTCCGTGCGGATGCGTTTCTGGTCTTCTACTGCAGTGCTATTAAAATTGGGAACCGGGAGATCCCTCCGGCTCACCTTGGCCAAAGTGTTTGCAGGCAGCAAAGTGTGATTTCTCACCTCCCACAAACTGGGGTTCCTGCTAATTAAGTCTCAATCCAGTCTTTCTCCCCCGGCGCTCCCGCAGTATTTGTTGCTGGGAGAGACAGATGGGCTGGAGCAAGCCCCCCAGAGCCATGCGTGTTTGAGCCAGGGCACGCCGGGAGACAGGTTCCAGGGCTGGGGCCAGTGAGACAGGGTGAGCGCCTGGAGGTCAGCTGGAATCGCCCAGAATCAGAAAGGGACCTTGTCACAGCACTGGGGGGGATGCCAAGCAGCCTGGGGAAGTCCAGGCATTGCCTCTGCTCCTGGGCTCGCATCTCAGGTTTCAATTCAAACTTTAAGCCGGTGACCGTGACCTTAAAGTGGCGGGGAGGAAAAGATGAAAGGAGGTAGTCCCTTCCCCATGATCGCACCCTGTGTGCCTGGTCTAGAGAAAATGTGTAGCTGTCTTTCTGTGTTCTGGATTTCCATATGGGTCTAACTAAGGAAACCTGATTTCCAGGAGGAAAGTCAGCTAGGAGTCATCTTGGGGTCATTCAAACTAAAGTTGAATTGTGTAAGAAAACATTTTGATTGTCCCCACCAAAACCACACTTGCAAGCTGTCCCTCACTGGGGGAAACCTGGAGAGGAAGGCAGTGCAGCACAGTAGGACTTGTGTCAGGAGACGTGTGGTTCGGTCCCCATTCTGCCGCTAATTAGCCGTGTGACCTTGGGCAAGTCTCTTCGGCTCTCGGAGCTCCCGTTTCCTCATTTGTAAAATGCAGGAGTTGGTGGCTCTGTCTTGGGAGTGACTTCCCCTTTCCAAATTCTGTAATTACTTGGTTCTAAAAATAATTCTGGTGGTACTATTCTAGCCAGTGAATGAAAGAGAGTAGGATTTCTTGAGCATCCCTCTAAAAATAAAAAATGACATAGTCACAGGTTACTTCTCTCTGATTCCAGAAGAATGAATGAATGCCAAATGAATGAATGAGTAAATATATTCGAATGTTCCTTTGCACTGTAAGGGAAGGGTGAAAGGTCCTCCCTCCACCTGGCTTTTCACCTGGCCCCGCAGACACCAGCAGCGGGTCGGGGAGAGCCTGTCCCACGTTGCTCGAGAGGAAGGTGATTCCAGGAGGGATCACGGGAGTGGGAGGGGGTGCTGATGCCGCAGGCTGCTTGAAATTGGCCGAAAGCCGAGAATTCCTGGTACAGAGCAGGCAGGGCCCGCAGGGAGGGAGGTCAGGTTGTCATTCCTGAGATGGATGGTCTCTCCTTCCCCAAACTCTGACCCCGGAACCGGCATCGAATGCCTGTCGGCGAGGGAGAGGATGCCAGGCCACATTTGGTGACCTAGGACTTCTCCCATCGGGAGGCCGGGCACCGAGAAAGGCAGGCAGGCAGGCAGGCAGGCAGGCTTCCCTCGCCTGCAAAATAGCGTGTGTAGACAGGGCTGTTAGGAGCATGTCACCTTTTTCCTCCCTTGACGGAGAGAATGAGAAAGATAAGACAATTCCTTTGGAAGAGACCAGGAAATGGACGTCAGCAGCTGCCACGAAACAGCTGTGACGACCCGACAGCCGCATGTTCATTGTGTGCTGGGAGTGGTGTCGTCTCGCCAAGAAGCAGTCGGGGGTGGAGCAGAGGGTGGAGGACAGGGCTTTACCGCCAGACACACCTGGGCGTGGAATCCGAGGCCATGGGACTTGGGTCGAGCTTCTTAACCTCTCTGAGTCTGTTTCCTCAACTTTATGAAGATACAAGTTATGTACCGCATAGGAGGGACTCTCATAAACATTGTCCTTTCCAATTCCCTGACTTTCGTCCCAGCGTGCATGCCCTCACCCCCTCCCAACCCCTGCCCAGGGCAGAATTGGACAGCTCCTCTCTACTCAGGTGTTTGCTATTTTAAAAAAATAAATTGATATCCAGATACACCAGGTGTCTCAAAAAAGTTGAAAAACCTGTGACAAAAAAAGAAACCAAAAAGTTCTCAGTCTCCATCATTACAAAGAGCCCAGAAAGGATCTGATTAGTTTATCTTCTCAATTCCAAACAGAGCCAGATCAATAGCTTAGTTTTAAAGATGCTCTCATTTGGCTTCACACGGCTAAGTACTTAAAATTAATCATAATCAGTTATTCCATGGGTTTTTAATTTCCAGCAGAGGCGCAGGGCTTTGGAACCATCCATCTTAATGGTGAGCCATCCTGAAATTGGCTGGAGCTGACATCTCCATTTGAAGAACCTCCCCTCCCCACCCCCCGGCCTTCCAAACCTCATCCACACATTGGCATTTCATAATGCTTCTCTGTAATCACGATTTAGGCACCACAAAGAACCTTGGCGATGAAATAATAAATAGGAACTAAGTGAGGGTGTCACTCATTAACTTAATACATTTTTCAGAGAGAGGAGAGTTCAAAACACCCTATCCCCAGAAAGATCATTTTTAAATATCGAAAAGTCCATAAATTAAGAAGACAAAACATAACATTTTGGGTGTGTTTTCTCTGACATTAGGCAGCGTGAAGTAGGACACAAGGAAAGACTAACCATTATCTTACGGAAAGCTCTCAAAATTAAGGAAAGTTTGCAGATGTTAACTACTAGCAGAAATATTTCACATGCGATAACCCTGTTATTTCATCGTTTCCACGGGTGGAAACACCGTAAACTTTCTTTCCATCAAGGCTAGCGTTGGTTTCACCAGCTCCACTGAATGAGAATTTAGGAGGTGAGACTGGGAGGGAACCGCTGACGAGGAGGAGAAATGAACTAGTGTGAGGTTGGAAAAGACTGAGATCTGTCCCCCTCAACCTCATTTTTTGGGCGGTATGACAAGTACAAAGTGGTGTGGTAGACAAGAAAAAGAGCTACCACCCTCCCTTTTCCAGGGAGTAAGAAGAAAATCATTGTAGGGGTGAAACTTCTTAAGGCTCCATGCCATTGCAGGGGAGGTAACAGCTAGCAGTTACTCATACCCAGAGGGGTAACCAGTGCTTTTACATATACTAGCTCTTAATTCTCAAAAATTCCATTGATGGAGCTGCTATTATCATCACCCTCCTTCTACAAAAAAGTAGCCCGTCTCAGAGAAGTCAAGGGACTGCTCCGCTAATCAGCAGCAGAGCCTGTGTCATTAGACATTCCACCAAGCAGCCCTTGGGGTCTGGGCTGCCATAACTGTTACGGGGCCTGGCTCCCCTCTAGCATGGCTGGTGGGGGCTGCGGGACGGTGTGAACTGGCCCAGGCCGATGTGAACTGGCCTAGGCAAACCACCAGCGACTCGCAGTCCTGCTGGGGAGAATGACAGAGCCTCCCACAAGCCTGTGCAATTGTCCTTGTCACTCCCTTTACCCGGTTAATGGGTCCCCACAAAGTTGAAGGTAAATCAAACTCTCAGGAGGAAGAAAAGCATCCTGTTTTTCCACTGGCTTACATCATAGTCCCAGAGATGATTAATTCCCACTCCTGGCCGTTGCCAGTTGACTTTGGCACGCAACAGTTTGGGGGCTCTGTTTCCCAGACACCACCGCCCCCCCTCAAAGATACAGCCTCAACTTGGTGGCACTTAAGGTTCTTAATTGAGGGCCCCAGCCTCTGCGAGTCGGACCCACTTCTGTTACCCTAATCATTGCCCTTTAACTTCCACCTGTTTTGTACATTTGGCGATTCACGTACAGTACTAGGTTTGCTCCAAGTAAGTCCCGCTTACGCTGCAGCTGAACATGCCAAGACTGCATTCCCAACTCTGTGCGACCACGAATGGCTGTGGCCGTGCTTTGAGCCATGGCTTTCTAGCCCCCGCCAGCCAGGCTGGGGACAGCCAGGCGCTTTGGTGACAGCCGCACCTCCCCGCCCGCCATGCCATTGTGGGTCAGAAAAGATGCGTAACTCTAATGAAACACAAGCAGAAAGTAGAGCCATATGAAACAAAAGTGAGTTGTTAACAAAATAAGTCATTAAATTTTTTTTCAATAGTATTGCGGGAGGGGAAAAGATATTTTCAGACACTGTCTCCTGATTAAATGGAGCAAGTCAGAAGTTCAGTAGATACGGTGTCAAAAACGCCAGACCGCAGACATCAGTAACACATCCTGCAAATGCTCTTATCTCCCAGTGAGTGGTCTGCCTTGGATAAACCACTGGAACCTGCGAGATCGCATGGAGATCCAACAGGTCTGTAGATAACGGCATGTGCTGTTTTGAAGCTCTCACTCTCATTTGTCGCTTGCCAATTTTGGAAATTCAGTGACATTATCATAGGCTGGTGCGGGCAGGATCGTAGGTGTCTCCAGAACGCCCTCCTCTTGTCCAGATAAGACACACAGAGCAGGCAGTGCAGGGAGGCGCGTGCCTCCTAACATTCTGCACCCCGCCTGGCTCACCGGGTCCCCGCCTGGCTAGGAGACTTGCCTGAGGTCAACGGCAAGTTGGTGGTGGCAGAGGAACTAGAAGCTGGGACTCCAGACCCATGTTCTCTGCCCACACTAGGCATCTCCATGCAATTAGGCTGTTCAGAAGGGCCCTCCTCCCCAGTAAGACTGGGAGTCTAAGCACAGTTTGTATAATATTTTCAAAATTTATCATAACGTTTTTGATATTATTTAGGAGGTTGGGAGTGGGCAAAAAATATTTATCTGTCCTTGACAAAATCAAGGGATGACCCAGCCTTCGGCTCTCTTTAAACCAGAGGTTGCAAACTAGACCACAGTCTACATTGTGCCCAGAGGTGAGAATTTTTTTTTTGTCCTACAGAGTATTTTCTTTTAATTGAAATTAGCATTTCACGTTTAAAAATTAGGATA